GGGGGGGGGGGGGCACGTGCCCCCACAGGACCCCCCTTGGGTCCGCCCCTGCTTGTAAGCTTGGCATGTAATGATCTTAGAGACATGGCTTTCTTTTAGATGAAGTTTGTAGTTCATTTCTTGTATTCAAGGAAATAGGGACTACTGAATGGACCCCGACATACCAGTGTAGGCGTAAAACCTAAAATTGGTCTCATGCTCACCACTCTTTTGTCTTAACCATGATTTTTGTTTAATATATTGGGCATGTGAAATAAGACAAATGGTAAGAATGTGCATTCTTGGATATTGTGATAATACTTTGCACATTTTCAGTCAATGGCATGCAGTTATGCCTCAGTATTTGCACTTGTCTGAGATGAGCTACATAGATGTCTTGTTAATGCATTAATATTAATTGCAGGCTATGTCATTTACACCGGTTATTCGGGGAAAGAGTTGCATTATAGCTGATCAAAGTGGATCTGGGAAAACTTTGTCATATCTGTTACCACTAGTTCAGCGTCTTAGACAAGATGAACTTGAAGGACTTGGACAACCAGTATCGCAAAGTCCTCGAGTTGTTATATTGGTCCCGACTGCTGAGTTGGCTTCCCAGGTCTGATAATATGTTTGAGGGTCTCATAATATAATGTAATTGCTTTTTAATACTATCTTTTGGTTTGTGTGCTATGTGCTCTTCATCGTATTTATTGCAGTGCTTCGAGATTGGACAATGATGATGAGAGGCTATTACTTAAGTGAAAGATAATTTCGTTGTACTCTCTTGTTATTTGAAGTTAACTTCTAACTTGAGTCGAAGATTAAAAAAAATGAGGTATCATAGTTTATCTTTTTAATATTTTTGGAGTTTGTGTTCTTCAAAAGTGATAGGTTTCAGGAAAAGAATTTTTTTACCTAAGTTGATTTTTATTTGTCTTTTCTATGATCATAATCTTGTATATTTTTCATCATCTAAAAGGCATACGTATTCAATAGAAGATTTCAATTAGCGCGTGTTCTCCAACGAGAGACATTATGTTAAATGAAATTACCAAATTATGAAATTTGAACTGCTTCTTTTGCTCTATGAATCCGACTCTTTATAAGAAGTTTTTTATGAGAAAGTTCTACTTTCTTATCGCAGATTGATATTTTTTTGCTTCTAAGTGATAAGCTCGTTGTAATTACCCAACGCATTCAATATGTTTTGTTTCATCTTACACATTTAAAAACAACATTGGCAGGTTTTAAGTAATTGTCGATCGTTGTCAAAAGTTGGCGTCCCTTTCCGGTCAATGGTTGCCACAGGTGGTTTTCGGCAGAGAACACAGTTGGAGAATCTTAAACAGGAATTAGATGTTCTGATAGCTACTCCGGGTCGATTCATGTTTCTAGTTAAAGAAGGATTCTTGCAGTTGACGAATCTTAAATGGTTTCTATCTTATACTTCTGTTTCTCTAGTAACTATCTAAAATTCATGATTAATCAATCTCATCTACATATTTGTGCTTTCATTTGTATGTTAGGAAAAAATCTGAGCATAAGTTTGACATGCACCAATCTGATTAGGCAACCCTATAATTTCATTCATCCATCACGAATAATGAAGCTTATGAACTGTTGGTCCTAAAATTGCTAGTTCATGTTTGAAGTTTTTGTTAGAAAATCAAAGATGCATGAAGCATATATCTATGCATCAGATCTTTTCAGCTTCTTGATTGAGATCTGCTTTGTTAGGTTAATTGGAGTTTTAACAGTTAGGGAGCAAGGTTAAATGCATTTCGGATTTTATGGATAAAGGAGGGTTGAAATCATTTTCATCGAGAAGTTGTTGGTTACAGGAATATTCAGACAACAAGAAGAAAAAGTTAATAATTTGAATTTCTGAACAGCAGGGGCAGTTCAGAACTTGGTGTGAAGTAATTATGGTTTGGGTAATGGTTTAGGGTCACGTAGTTTGTGATGAAGTGAAGAGAAGAAGATGAAATAACACTCAATCTACCAGGGTTAGGCAAAATACAAAAAATGTATTAAAATTCTCACAATTCAATTAATTTCATTGCTTGATACACAGATATCAGTACCTTGTTTACTCTAGATATTACTGGTACAACAATAACAACTATGCCTTGTTCAATCTAGATTTAATGGAAATATGTCAAAAGTAACTTTTTTTTTTATTTCAAACAAAAAGAATTCCTAAGTAAATTATTAAACCATTTGGTAAGTAATGTAATTGTTTTAGATCTAAAGTTCTAAACATGTCAGCAATCCCACTCTGTTGCAGCGCCTGTGTCGTTATATATGCATTCAAGTTCCTATATTCTCTTCTTCTTATTTGATCATGAACTGAGAAATTTGAAGATTCGTTAATCTGACATCCTCCTTCCCAACATGCTCAACACCACCAACAAGCTGAGCTTTATTTCTAATAACTTTGGGGTTCAGTTTAAATCATTTTCTATATTTGATTCAGTGTTATCTCTTCTGAAAGGTCAAATGAAATCATATATTTTGCTACCATCTCAGACCATGTCTACCTCTAGGCTTCTAACCTGTTCTACTACAATTGTATCAGTCTTAAAAAATTACAGTTTCTTTTTGTCAACGGGGGACATATACCAGCTATGCATGATGTTTGTTCTATCCTGAACTGGTCCCACTTTTCGTTTGCCATATAAATCAATTTTTATTTTATTCATTCTTGTGCATAGAATGACAGAAAACATGTATGCATCTCACATCAGATAATTTTCTTCTGTCAAAATTAGATGTTTTTCATGGAAATTTGAGTTGCTAACTATTATTCAAACTTTATGCTTCAGTGCCGTACTGGACGAGGTTGATATACTGTTTAATGATGAGGATTTTGAGCTTGCATTACAAAGTTTGGTAAACTCTGCACCTGTTACGATGCAATATCTATTTGTGACCGCAACATTACCAGTAGAGATATATAACAAGCTAGTTGAAACTTTCCCTGATTGTGAGGTTATAATGGGTCCTGGAATGCATCGTACAAGCACTGGACTAGAGGAGGTACATTCTTGTTCTAATGTCACATTATGGTTATTGGAGAAAATTGTCTTATTTTGCAATAAAAAATCCTGCTACGCCAATTTTTTTTGGCTTTCCATCTTGTAATTTCTAATAATGGTTATAATTATTTGCATGCTAAAAAAGTGGCGCTTTAGTACTGTGAAAAAGTGAGAATTGAAAAACATTGTGTTGAGTTTTTATCTCATGAAAGTTATCTTCTCACTGCATCTAGAAATTTTTAACACCACATAATAAAAAAAGTGAAGTACCAGAATTATATGGTCAGGATTCAGTGGTTCTAATCCATATATAGAAAACTAGAAAACAAGAAAAGGAAACTTAAATTATTTAATTTATAAAGTTCTCATTTAAAAACTTAGGAGGTTTCTGGTTCCCATTTCTGTCCGGTACAAAATGATCTGATCATTGATATCTTAGATGTTGAACATGTAATCAATTAGCTTACCTATTGCACTAGAGAAGAACACAATTGCTGCTTGCCATCATGTTTTCAGTTTAAATCGCTTTTGTTTGTTAAATAAACTTTTTCAGGTGTTCCCCCCCCCCCCCCCCCCTGGTGGGGGTTGGTTCTTAACTACAAATCTTTGATCTCTAACAATGATTAGACTAAGGATTTGTGCATCTCCTGTCCTGCCAAGCAGTTGCAAGATGAGGAAAATGTTAATGTCCTCTTGATATCTGTTTTGCAACTTCATTCCTCCTCATAGTGAGCTTATGCTTCTGGTGTTGGCATGTACAAGCTGCCCGACAATAGGGAGCTTCTGACCAAATAAAAGCATAATCTTACCTGAGTTAGAGATGTAATTTTCATGTTTCATGTGTTTTATTTATGCAATAATGCTACTTCTATGAATTTGTCTTAGTTGATTTGACCAGTTCTGAATATGCATCTGTATGCCATGGTGCATGTCCCTGTAGAATTCAGAGCTATTACTGGTTTTAAAATTCCTACACCTTGATTTAACAGTTGATACAGGCAGCGCAGTTCTTCAAAATAGTTAACTTTTAACTGTTTTGGGATCAAATGAATAGATCTTTTAACTTGTGATATCATATGATGATCAGATCCTCATAGATTGCAGTGGAGATGACAATTCAGAAAAAACTCCTGATACTGCATTTCTCAACAAGAAAAATGCTCTTTTGCGTCTTGTAGAGGAAAGTCCAGTGACAAAAACAATTGTTTTCTGTAACAAGGTACTATTAAAGATCATATTCCGGACAATCATTTTACTGCTCTGTTTGACATAGTTAATATCGTGCTTTTAGTTTAATACTAATTACTATGTTGACCATATGCAGATAGAAACATGCAGGAAAGTCGAAAATGCATTAAAACGATTTGATAGAAAAGGAATTTGTACACGAGTTCTACCATTCCATTCTGCTTTAGAACAAGAATCAAGGCTTACAAACATAAAGGAATTCCATAGCTTTCCAGCCAAGAACATTTCTATGTTTTTAGTGTGTACTGATAGGTATTAATCTACTTCCACTGGAGAGATACATCTAGTTCTTTCATAACCATTGTGAATAGGCAACCCAAAAAATTTTACTTGATTTGTTCTGCCATATTTGCAGAGCATCTAGAGGAATAGACTTCGCTGGTGTGGATCATGTAGTGCTCTTTGATTTTCCTCGGGACCCAAGTGAATATGTACGTCGAGTTGGAAGAACTGCCAGAGGTGCTGAAGGTAAGGGCAAGGCATTTATATTTGTTGTTGGTAAGCAAGTTTCTCTTGCAAGGAGGATTATTGAAAGAAACAGAAAAGGCCACCCTTTGCATGATGTCCCGTCTACCTACGAAATGATGAGTTAGATTCAGATTGTAGGAAGATAGAAATACACTATGTTCCTTGACCTAAATTGTAAAAGTTGCAGATTTTTGTTAGATTACAGTTGACTATTTATTTGTATTAATTTGAGATTTGTCACGCTGTAATTTGCATCAGATATAAATTTTCTATAGATTCAATGTGTTTCATAGTTGATCAAGTGATTATAAATTTAGCTTGTATTAATTTTTAATATAGTTCGTTCAAAACTGGATAACAAGGTTCTCTCATCGAAGCAGCAGTTAAGAGTCGTGAATTTAAAATAGCTGGGAAATTGAAGCTCACATACAAAAATTTTTAAATCCAGAATGCACAGCGGCGGACTTAATTCTCAACCAGGTTCCGAAACTTTACTCTCCTTTTAACGCTACCTAACCTATCATATCCTATGCCAATCTTACTATGCATCAATTTCATTGCCAAATCAGCATTGCCAGCCTTCCTCAAGGCATTGATCATAATAGTACGAACTTTGCCCGGAATTTCTCTACCACGTTCAACAACTCCATCAGCCAACTTGCAAGCCTCTGCTATGCGACCAGCTTTGCACAACACACAAATCATATGTTGAAAAGCAGTCTCCACAACAATACCCATTGGTGCTAGTTCGTCTAAGATTTTACAAGCTCTTGCCACCTTGCCTGAAAGACAAAGCCCAGTTGAGAGGACCCTAAAAGAAGCATCATTTGGAGTGATACCCTTATCAATCATCATATCCCACAATTTCAATGCTTCTTCATTACGGTGCTCTTTGAACAAGCCGCTCAACAATATTGTGTAAGTATACACAGTCTGATCACAGCCTTCATCTTCCATTCTCTTGAAAAGTGTCAATGCTTCATCAACCTGTCCACTCTTTGCCAACGCATCTATGAACACATTATAACAATAGGAGTCCCGAGGACAACCCTTCTCAACCATCTCTTCAAAAAGTTTTTCAGCCTCGTCAATTCTTCCTGCCTTACCAAGACCATCAATGAGGCTCGAATAGAACACAGTATTTATAGACACATTGTTACTTCTACAATATTGAAACCACTGCAGTGCATTTTCAAGTCTCCCGCTCTTGCACAAACCATTCACAATAACCCCATATGTAATCTCATCTGGTTCAAACCCTTCGCTTTGCATCCTCTGAAAGAGTCCCATAGCTATGTCCAAGTTCTGATTCTTCGCATACGCATCAATCAAAGCAGTATAAATTGCAATATTAGGCCTACACTCATTTTGAATCATATTCTCAAAAACTGAATACCCTTCCATAGACTTCCCATCCTTACAAAGACCACTAATCACTAAACTATAAGCATGGGGAGGAATATCCAATCCTTTTTCCTTCATTTCGTGATAAAGCCTCAAACAACAATCATAATCCTCTTGAGAATAACAAGCCTGCATCAAAGTCATGTAAGTAATCTTATCAGGCTCTACATTCTTCAACTCCATATCCTGGAATCTCTCCATAGCTTTCTTAACCCTTCCAGCCTTACAGTACCCTTTAATAATCGTATTATAAGTGACCACATCGGGCTTAATTTTACCGTTTTCCATAACCTCAAAAACCCGCTCAGCCGATTCCACAAACTCAGAACTCACCAAACCATTCATCAAACAGTTGTAAGTACACAAACTAGGCTCGATCTCATTTTCTTTCATCATTTTCCATACCCACAATAACTCCTCCACCATCCCAACACTCCCAAAGCTCCTAATCAAAGAATTAGCCACAATTGAATTCAACAAGAAACCCTTTCTCTTAAACTCGTTGAAAACAAACTTAATCCTATCCAAATCACGAGCAAGACTCAAAATCTCAATCATAAAAACATAACATTCAAGACTATGAGTATAACCTCTTTGCTTGCTTGCCCAGGTCAAAAACCTGTATGCCGTTTCAGGCTGTTTCGCAATGTGGTCCGATTTTTTCAGGATGTAAGCAACAAAGCTGGGCGGGAGCTTGATTAAGTACTTTCGGCAATATTCAGTCAACTCTTGTTCCAAGTTGGTGTTTTTGTGTAATATGTTGAGGATTTGTAGGACCCATGGTGAGGGTCGGAGGTCCTTCTTGGAATCAGCAGTGACGACGTCTGAGAGGTCAGTAGTGGGTTGCACCCATTCTGGTGGTGGGAGTGGACTGAAGGAAGATATCCATTTAAGAAGGGTAATTGAATGTGAATTTGGACATAGGTTCGAGGGATTTGGCAATGGCAATTTGGGATTATTGGTGAAAGGACAGTGGTGGATTCGATTTCGAAGCGAGGCTGAGAAGGGGATTTTGAGGAGTTTTTTCATCTGGGTTTTTCGCTCAGTTATGATAATAGCAGGTACAAAGGTTGGTCTTGAAGCCGAAAGCATCCATTTTTGTTTTGGTGGGGAAATTGAGGAATTTCTGAACGAATGAACAGATTGGAATATAATGAATATTGGATCGGTTCTGCTACAAGTACATTGAGGGTACACAAGGGTGTCCATTAGGCACTCTCTTATTGGACGAAGTGCCGACCCCGATGTACAAGAAGAATAATCCATATTCGGTTCCGAACGTGATGTGGGTGAAATTCAAAATAAAATTGAAGTTCAGTGACTTACTTAGAATAAATTGAAGTTCAATGATCAAATTGAGATTTTATTGAAAGTTCAGTGACAGAGGATGAAATTTACCCATGTTTAGAAACAATAATTATTTTTGGAAATTCTTTTCTGATTTATAATATGAGTGTACTGTAAAGTGTAAATTTAAGACCATAGTGGTCTAACATTACTAAAAAGTTCTTGTGCTATTTATTTTAGTTAACGTGTAAAATTAGTACATGAAAGGTTGGAAATTATTGTATATTATTTTTCGAATTTGTGCTGAATCATGGACTTTCGATCATTTTGTTGCATATAAATCGCGCAAAAAAACTTTTATTTTGGAATCCTCTCGAATATTATTATTTTCAACTTCACATTAGGTCTTCTTTTATTCACGTTCTTCATTGGCCTAGCTCCCGAATATGGCACACCTTCCCACAACTCATCGGGTGAGGTTTCGTGTGTTTCTATTGATTGTCACAATACAAGTAAAGAGAAATAGTACCAATCTACTAACTATCATTCACAAACGAGAATAAGCAAAAGTAACAACCTAATAGGAGTTAAAATCTAATTTAGATGCTACATAAAGAAACATTTCTATTCAGAGTGAGTTAAACACATAACATTTTCAACCTAAGCACAAGAGTAGGAAATTAGATCATTAACATTCAATGAAGTTTAGGAGAAAGAATAAGTCGATCGACGATTGAGCAATAAACCTCCAAAATTGAGTGGTACATCTCAAACCTAGTTGCTGAATTAATAGTGACACCACAATTCCTCTCCAAGACATTGAGGATATCGTATACGACTTGGTCATTGTGGTTTGTATATGACTCAATTGTGAATATTTAATATTTACATATTCAATCATAGTCAAAGTCGACGTTGTAACAAATAGAAATTTCTGTTCTGAATTATCTCAAACTAAACTTATGATTTATACATCAGCTTGTACTCAAGAATTGCCCATTTTGTCTTAAAATGTCAAATGAATTTTGTTATGCAAGGTGTGTCAATTTTTTATTTTTTCAAATTTTGAGGAGTAACAAAATTATAGCAAACAGACAAGGGTAAAAAGCCTTGTGGTTTCCAAATTTTACACTTTGTGCAAAAAAAGTCCTTCAACTTTAGATCGAATTTCATTAGTTCCTCAGCTCTGACTTGTGAATCTAGTTAGTTCCAAAAATTAATTCCGTCCAAAATTACCTACGGACATCCTACATAAACAATGGATTGATAATTCATGTTTCTTTGGCACCTAATACATTGACGTGAATAAACTTGCACTATTAATCATCAAGTGTCAAAATGATGTCAGAATCATGCTACTTGTATAATTTTATTTGACAATCTTGATCTACAGTTCACACTTGACGGCATCACGTTCATTCATTTTAAAAAAAACTTTTAAAATTAATTCTCTGAATTTTGACAACACCAAAATTGTCAACAAGAATTGCACAAATGTGTTAATTCACGATGTCATATGGGATGCCACCTCATCTTCTAATGGCCATGTAGGTTGTTCGTTGGTAATTTTGGACGAAATTTTTGTAGGTCTAATGGGATTCATGACTTAAAGTTCATGGACGAACAAAGTTCGATTTGAAGTTTGGAGAAGTTTAGAGAAAAAAAAAAATTAACAAGAAATTGCAGGGCACTCCCTACCCCAAAAGAGAACCCATCATGGAAATGTCTCAAATGAACCAAGGTAAATCTTGATCTGGGATTTTCATCAATTTATAGACAATATGGCGAAACTTGAACCATATGAAGAGTCTGAATCGAGATCAAAACATCAAACGAAGAAAAATGCAGCTGCAAAGAGGAACCACGGATCCACCAAGTTCTTTGTTTTTGTGGATTACCTTTTTCTCTGCATCTTCTTCTGTTTCCTCCTCTTCGTTCTCCTCAAAATGGTCGGTTTTTAATCCAGAAAGGTAAATTTTTAACGACCCATTTTCTCATTATTTACGAATCTAATAACATTGTACTGAATTTGCCCATTTCTAATCAATATATGCATTTATTTATTTATTTGGCAAATTTTGCACTTATATAGCATATTGTTCCTCTGCGCGAGTGTGTGTATATGCCCATGTTTCTTGTTTGCCTCTTGATGTGTATAAGATTTAATTGAAGGGAAAAACAGAAAGGTGCCAATTTGCTGACCCTATCGAGGGATTTTATAATTATGTAAGCTGCAGAGTCATAATTCTGTCTTACAAGAAGGAATCATGTTAAAAATTTATATGCTTTGAATTGCTTATACAGATTCAGATTTATAAGTTTTAAGCCAAAGCTATGATTTTGTTGACAATATTATCTGTCTTGTGGTTAGTTGTTCTGGAATTAAACTTCATAGTTGTGCTGCCTAGGCTATGTGCCTCTGCTTCTTAGGCTAATTCTGATTTTTTTATGCTGCTAAGATGCTTGGTTAAGAGAGAAGTTGAAGGGTGCTGATCTAAGTTTCAGATAAAGTGAATGTGAAATTTTAGAACTTGGAGATTTTGGTGAAGACGGCATTGATTTTTGACAAATGCTTTATAAATTTTCATAAAATGCACTAGCTGATTTTTGATGTGCTACATCTTAGGTTGTGGATCTTAAGTTTCTGAAAATGTGAAATTTTATAACTTCAAGATTTGGTGAAGGCGGCACTGATTTTGGACCCAGTACTCTCTCATTTTTCATAAAATTTTCACGAACTAATATTTGAATGTTGTGATGTGCTAAAATTTCGCTGTATAAGTTTGCCAATAGGGCAAAAAGTAATAAAAAAAAAAAACCTAATGCATTTTCAGTAAAATAATTTTGTAATTCAAAGCTGATGTGCGAGGATGCACACTCTTTCGAGATGGAGTATGGCATGAGGTCTAGAGTTTGTGAAGGGTCAATCTCTTGAGTAGGTTATTTTACACGACATATTATTTTTGTTGTTGTTGGTTGATTTGAAGGTAAAATTTCATTGGCAGTTCTCACATGACATTCTTTTTTGCCACCATAGATCATAGGTCAAAAACGTGATGTTCCAGTTGCATTCACGCCTACAGTATCAGTATAAGCATCAACCATTAGAAAAAAGTTACGATATTTATTGAAGAAAATATTTTAAATATGTCTCATTAATCTTGATTGAACAGAGTTAATATGCTCGTCCAATTCCCACAAAACATCATTGGAAAGTTCTACCTTGGTTGTATGTATTACATTCATTTGGTCTAAGATGTTAAAACAATTGTAATACTCTGCCTGAACATTTTAAAAATGTTTGCACTCGATTGACCTTGCATATATGCTTGACACCGAATTTTAAATGAATCTTGATGGGAAACTATAAAATTAAGTACAAAACACGGTGAATCCTGCAACAATATTGTAAAGTAATCGTCTAAAAAACAAATCTTTAAAACAAAAGAAAATGTAAAGGAGATTGTAATTTGGTGAGTATAGGGTTGCAATGAAGTGTGGAGATGGGCTAGGTTTAAGAAGAAATTTTCTTGGAGTTTAAATAGGACTCCTTTAGTATTTTGTTGTTCATCTGGGGTAATGTTTTCTTGTAAATTCTGCAGGGCAATGATATGGAGCATTGGATTCAAGTTCAAGTCCTTAACTGATTTACAGGCATGGCATGGACAGATCCAGAAGTTGCAAATCTAGATGCTGATGTTTGCCTTGGCTCAAACTGACTTATTGCCTTGGTGACCTTAACTTCTCTCACTCTTTTTGTAGAAGCAAGTGATCATTTAGTATTTCCTTTGTTATTCTTGCATGTGATATATTTATTGAATTGTTCGATGCTCGAGTCCATTTTTTTTTTTAAATCCCATATGCATTTTTGCTGTTTGACGTTGCAATCATGTTCTGAATTTTACTTGGAAAGTTTGTAGGAATTATATTTTTTCAATCAATGCCATGTTTGGTTTACATTTAAGGCATCGGTATAAGATTTTCCTTAACTAAAGAGATAATAGGTGATTTTGTACTCCCCTTTGATTGTGGGTAGAGAATGACTTTAAGTCTGGTTTCTTGCCTTGTAAGTCTGCTTTTTGTGCGAAAACAGAATGTTGGAGATGCGTACTGCCGCACATCTCTTGTTTCCATATCTGTTTGAGCCTCAAAGCAATGGACCAACTTGCGCAATTCAAGTTGCGAAAGTTGGGGTCTCTCGAATTGTCTGATTCGTTCAATTGTGAGCAAGAACTTTCACCACCCACTGCCACCATCCACGCCGGATCCACCCACCACCACCACCACCACCACCACCATTTTTGGTAGAGAAGTACTACGTTTAGAGCTTGTGTAGAAATAGGATGTACCAAAATCTTATGTATAAGAGGAATTACAGATTATGCTATAGAATTCTTCTTCTCAATTTCTGCAAACAGTCTGACAAACTATCTGCTAAGTTCAGATTGCCAAAAAATTTCTGCACATGAAGAGAAATATTCCAACATTTCATAACGTCTTTCTTATATCAAATTTTGTTATTCATGTGTTGTCACCTGCACCCATCTGTATTTATTTTGATCTCCCATTGGGTCGGTTTTCGACACTTGTATATATCACTAGTTTCGCACGTGCCGTTGGTGAAGTTGGGTATTAAATAGTGTGTTGTTTAAGGAAAAAAAAATGAAAGAAAATGAGAAAGGTTTTGATATAATTTGTAAGTGTATTGTAATTATACTGAAAAAATATAGAATATATGTAAGTGGTTAGAATATGAGAAATG